ATTCCCTATTTAAATCTGGTCGGATAAGCGGTAGAGATTATATACCAACCCACAGGCAAACCTATATCAATACATGAATCCGTGCCCGATGGTGAGGTCCATCACTCAACATAGCGCTCTACAGGTATTGCGACGACATTAGAGGAAAGCAGTGTGTCAGAATTCTCCATCTTAACTATTGACTCTTGTCTTATGACAATGCATGACCGAATATGGCTGTTATTGTACCAAAATATTTTTAAAATTATCCCTCGTACATGTGGTACAGGCCATGATAATCATAGTGGGTAGTTAGCGACTGCTTTTCACTGTAAGTGCATCACATGTGTACACATGTGAAAAGCAGTTCGACTTAGTACTTACAAATGTGCCAGAGCCCCGTTTGGTTACTTTCAATCGGACTTTTGCAAGAATCGTAGCCATTGCAACATTTTTTTTAATTAGAAAAAAAAAGACCAATGCGGGATTCGATCCCGAGCCGTAGCGTTCGAAAACCAACGGTTTAGACCAGGGGTTGGCAAACCTTTGGGTTGGAAGTGCCAAAAATTACAATTTACAAAATTTCAAAATTTTCAAAGAGCCACAAAATTATTTTCTTGCCAACAATTATAAGTATTCGCATATAAAATAAAGTGTTTTGATAAACATAACTAATCTATTTTTTTTATTTATACGAAATATATAATTTATTCATATATAGTATCATATTTGTATGTAAATAAACATGTATAAACACTGGTGAAGCCGTCAAATTGTCTTGTGTCGAATTTAACCTACATAAAAACATCCGACGTCATTCGAGAAACGGACAGACGACAATGACGTCACGGTGAGTACAAGTGGCTGAGTGCCTAGTCCTCGGTAATCGATTCTGAACGATTTTTATATGTTTTTATTATGATGCATCAGTACGACATAAGTTATCAAAATACGAAACTATTATAAACGCGTATGTTTCTTTTTTAAAATAAACAATTTCTACTGCCCTTACTGCAATGATAAAATAATGGGAGGTCCTGGCTCATCAGTAGTGAACCCTCCCAATGGTTTCGCCAGTTTAATCTATCATACCGCAATACGAGCGTATAACAGCGGTATGGTAGGCTTAACTGGCGAATCCGCTGGGAGGGTTCACTACTGATGAGCCAGGACCTCCCATTATCTTATCATTGCAGTGAGGGCAGTAGAAATTGTTTATTTTTAAAAATAATAATACGCGTTTATAATAGTTTCGAATATGTTTTCATAAAATAAATAATATTTGCGTATGGAACTGAAGAGCCACTGGTGCCGACCCCTGGTTTAGACCAGTCCTCCACCGACCTCCACTTTGCACCAAAAAATATGGACAAACACGGAATCACTTTAGTACCCCAGTAATCCTGACCTTCATCCCGAATACCTCTTCTTTACCCTGATTTAAAAAAAAATGAAAAAACGTCAATTTTATTCAAAGACTGAAATAAAGGAAAAATCGAAGAAAAAGGTTTGTAAATCTGAAAGAAGATGATTTTCAGAGGAGTCGTGTGAAAAAAAGGAACAAAAGAATAAATATAGTAGGTATGATTATTTTCAGATATTTTAAATAACACATTTTATTATACTTTTGTATTTTATTAAATATTTAGAATTCTCTCCTTGAATTTATGGATCACAATTTGTATAAGTCGTTGATATAAGGATTTTATGGCTACTCTCCAAACATTGGAACATTTATTTTTATTTGGTAATTTTGTTTTATATTTTGATCTTTAGTGTATTTATTTTTATATAACAATATATAATGTCAATAGATAGCGTCAGATTCTGACGTTTATTTTGACGGCGGGAGAAGCGCCCATTGCTTCTATATATATGTATATATTGTTATGAATATTTTTTTATAAGACAAAGGATCGATAAGATAAAGGGTTGAGGTGCAGTCGTGATAAAAAAAAGATAATTATTTACCGTCAAGTAGCTTTTATTTTCAATTACTTGGGGAAAGATTACACATTAGTTATTTTCACATTATATAGAATTTATAAAGTTAATCCTATATTAGTGATTTAAAAGGATTGATATGTTAACTACGCATATTTACAACAAAACTATATAACTAAACTGATAGTCTTTCTAAAAACGATGATAACAAAGCAAATTTATCAATGAATAAAATAAAATATATATTTTAATATATAGAAATATTTGAGTTTTTAGATTATATAATATATATATATGGAAAAAGGCAGCTTCATTCTTTCGAACTATTTTTCTATATATTGATGAGACAAAGGCGGGGATGTGATGCTCAGATGGTTTATTTGGTGCAGTGCTGGACTTGTGGTCTGGTCCAGGAAGGTCATGATGTTCGGGGTCTCGCCGGGCCGGTTGTAGGAGGGGATGGAGCTGTAGCTATACATTCTAATCGCCTGTTCGAAATCCAAACAGGACGAAGATTAGTTTATATTTCGCACGTTGTATTTAACGCATTGCCGCGAAACGATGGTCAATGGTCAAATAGGATTTATCCCCGTCATCTCTGTGGTGCCATTTCTCTGATAAAAATAATTAATTAGAAATATTCAAAAATTAAAATAATTTTTACTGGTCACGTGTACTATCGGTCGGCTACCTGTTGACACACAACAATATATTTATATGCAATATATATTTTTATTAAATAAAAACAAACGATAGCAATGCGTCTCTTTATACATAAAATTTTTAATATGCTAGCTTTCGGATATCCGAAAGCTAGCATATTAAAAATTTTATGTATAAAGAGACGCATTGCTATCGTTTGTTTTTATTTAATAATTTATAGCAATTCTTTTGTCTATATATTTTTATGCGTAATATGTGTGTATAAATATGAAAGCAACGTATATACCTTGAGCATTTAAAAACACATAAAAAAGGCATTTATTTTATTGTTTTGGTACAGAACATACAGTTGGTGATCAATGAAGGACCACAAAATAGATATATATATTGTTGTTGACACACATTAATATGTTATAATCCCTTGAAAAAGGTTGGCGGTAAGCCAACTGATATATTGTTAGACTGAATAATATTTTGATCAAATATATGCCTTTTTAAGTAGAACTGCTCTTCACTGAAGGTTAATAACGAGTTTACAAAGTGGGAAGAGGAGCTTCTTTTTATTAGCATGCACACAAGCTTTCGGACATATCGTCCTTCATCAGGTAAGAGTAATAAACGCGCTGAGGATCCATATATACACAAAGCTGAAAAGAAAATTTACATAACTGCAAAAGATAAAAGTATTTAAAGATAAAAATAAGAACCAAATATGCTAAAAAGATTATAGGGATTAAATGCTAATAAATCTGGACTAAGTACATATGTCCACCTAGGCATGTCCACCTTCACATTTGATACCCAGTTTTTCAAGCAGACCAAGGGCTCCCCCATGGGTAGCCCCCTCTCAACCGTGGTGGCTGAGGTTGTCATGAGGTCACTGGACCAATGGATCACTTCACGCCATTCTTCAGACATCTTTCTATGGAGGCGGTACATCGATGATACCTTTTGCTTGGTAAGTGAGGTATCTGCCTCTCACATCCTATCTGACCTCAACTCCTTCCACCCAGACATAGCCTTCACCCATGAAACAGAAAATCACTCAGTCCTACCTTTCCTAGATACACTAGTCATACGCACCCCCAGCAGTTTCCATACCACAGTATACTATAAAAACAACACACCCCCACACCACACAAACTTCCGGTCACATTGCCCAACACCACACAAAATCAATACAGTTAGAGCTCTCACTAAACGTATCTTTACTCATTGTTCCCTCCCGTTATTCCAAACAATAGAAAAAGCTAAAATATTTTCATATTTATCCAAATCCGGCTACCCGACCCCCTTCATTCTTAAACACATGCATGACCCTCACCACAACAGTGCTCCAGCTATACACAGAAATATTTGCTCCCTTCCTTTTTGCCCCCAGTCTATCACCATAGCCAGGTTTTTAAGGCAACATGGCATTACAACATACTTCCAGAACCCACCTAACATCGCCACACTAATCCGACACCCCATTACCAGATCTTCCCTTCATGCGAGTTCTCTCCGTTCTGGTGGTGCTGTCTATTCCGTCTCTTGCGACCAGTGCAATGCCACTTATGTCGGGGAGACGGGTAGATCCGTCGCCATCAGAATGGTTGAGCATTCCAGAAACATCTCTAATAAAAACCTAAATTCCCCTATTTACAGTCATTCTATGCAAACCGGTCATACATTCAATCTAACAAAGCCATCCATTCTATACAACAATATCAATAATAAGTACCAAAGACTTTTACTAGAGGCATTTGTGTCAATAAAAACAAACAGCATCAACAGGCATATAGATATACCAGAACAATACCATATGTTATGTGAATAGCCATAGGTTGCATTTACCTGCCCTTGATTAACACCATTCATAGTGCATATGTACTTAGTCCAGATTTATTAGCATTTAATCCCTATAATCTTTTTAGCATATTTGGTTCTTATTTTTATCTTTAAATACTTTTATCTTTTGCAGTTATGTAAATTTTCTTTTCAGCTTTGTGTATATATGGATCCTCAGCGCGTTTATTACTCTTACCTGATGAAGGACGATATGTCCGAAAGCTTGTGTGCATGCTAATAAAAAGAAGCTCCTCTTCCCACTTTGTAAACTCGTTATATGCCTTTTTAATTGAAGATTTATTTATGGATTGTTCTATTTTCAA